TTCTGAAGAACTTCGTGAGAGATTTAATAAGATTGTTGCAACCACCCAGTCAGATGAAGCTGTGTCCTCGCTTCAACCTGACAATACAGAGGATTTTCTCCTTGATGTCATCTATATAATGCATCCCAGGGAGTGGATTTCTCATAACACCAGAAAAAACACATAGCTGTTACTCAGAGGAAGCAATGTTTCAGAAAAACACGTCACTATATTTTCAGCTGATGGTGATAATTTCTTTACTGTAGCTGATACTGATCTCCACAAGACACTGCTGTCGAAGGACTAACCTCCATGCAAATTGCTTTTATATATAAATAAACTCAAGTAACTGTAGCATTCAGGTAAGTATCAGTCCTCCAAAATATGCCATCCCTCAAAGAACATTTGATGATGTCAGCTTTCCTAGCTCTCCAGATAAGAGCAAACTCAGATACTTCATTTCATTTTTATTAAGATATGATATATTTGAAAATCTGAAATGTCTTTGATCCCAGATATTACTGTTATCGAATTACTATAGCATGGCAAAAAGGCAGTGAAAATACCCAGTGGGACAGCCAAAAGTAACCTTCTGTATTTAAACAGTAGTGCTCTCTGTGTGTAAACCAGGTATCTGTGATGTGCAAGACACGACAAAATCAGGAACGGTGTACGCAGACTGCGTGCTGGCTGAAATATGAAGCTTCACAGGGTTAACACACTAGCTGAGAGAAACCGGGCTGCTGCCCCAAAGCTTATTGCAACATTAGTGCCTTGTTGTTTGGTTAATTTCCCCTATAAGCGAGTCTTCCAGTTTGGGGCAAGGCAGGCATAGCTGAGCTACTAAATTCTCTCTTGCAATGAGTTGTTTTGTGTTGATGCTGTTGGGGATTTTTGGTAAAAACAGGATTAATATTTAATTTACAGTTTTAGGGATTTTTGTGAGGATGAAAGAACTGCTGCAGTGGGCTCTTATCCTGTAACAGTACTGGTTTTTTTAGAACTTCAAAAAGCAAACATCAATAAATAAATAAAAACGTCTTTTTCAATGAAAAGTGTCCCCTGGCACAATAAGCTGCAGTGGGCCTGTCAGCGTGTCCTCCATCAGTATCTCCAAAGGACGCTAGCGCGGCTCAACCTGCCACGAGTACAAAGAGAAGCCTCAGGATCAGCAGCGTCAGTTTTTGATCATATGAGATGTGATTCCCAGGGAGATCTAAAACTGGCACTGGAAAGGCGATATTGTGGGAAATGCTCCCAGAGGCAGCCAGGAGGACGGCTGCAGCCGAGGTCTGCTTGCCTTTAGGATGGCAGCGGTGTTGGGGTGAAATCGTTAGCCCAGCTGCTAACTCCAAGACGTGTGCCTGGACCCCGCATGCTTGTCCCTCCCTCAGAGCTTGTTAGAGAAATTATAAAACCTTAAGCAGCTTAAGAGCAGGCTGTTGCACAAATGAATGTTCTCAGCTCTGTACAAACTGCGTGTGGATGGCAAAGGTTTACAAGTGCAGGCACTTCAGCGTGGGTACCTAGCGTGGGTGTGCAGGTACAGTCGCCGGAGGCTCCATGCCAGGTCCCCAGAGCGGACCCCTTTCTCCAGCGCAGCACCCAAACCAGACGGCTTTGGGGCTGCCCAGCACGGTCAGAACAACGCTGCATAAAAAGCATCAGCTAAGCAAAACCAGGAGAGGTGTCCGGTGGAGGAGATTTAGAAGTTTGGTACAAGAGCAGGGGTTGCTTTTGGGTGTTACAGTATCACATTGCCGCCTTGTTACTTGTGAAAACACTCTGTTGCAAAGACTTTTAGATATTGAGAAATACTGTCTTTGTCACTGGTTTCGAAGATTTTCTGCTCGTGGTATTCTTGTTTTGCTTGCGGTAGAGATACACTTTGTGCTCAGACAGCCGATCTAAAGCAAAAAAGTGGACACAAAAAGCAAGGAAATATGTTTGCTTTTTGTTCCTCAGCTATGGTCATCCTCGTGTACGGGGAGGCTGTCTGATGCTTGGGCTGGTGCTGGAAAGGCTTTTTCAGGGTTTATGGTGGGTGAAATTAGCAGAGGGTTGGTGCAAGGCCTCACTAACCGTGATTCACACTGGATTTTTAAGGTCTTTGGCCTGTTTAAACTTATTAATGTTTGCTGGTATAACGATGATCTTTGTTAAGAGTGTGTATGGACAGTATCAAGTAGTCAACCTGAACAAGCATAGCTTCCAGTAAGATATATTTTCAAGCAGTGACTTGAAAAATGTGGTTTGTATCCTCCCGGTTGAGCTCTCCTCAGTGGGAGACTGTTTGTCACTGAGAGGCGTGGAACCAACTAACTTCACACAGAAGAATCCTCTCTTAGTCCCTCATCTTTCCTCCTTTCTTTCCACGCAAAGCTTGTTTTGTAGAAACTCATTCTTGTAATAGTTAGAGTCGTAATTTCTTAATGAAATTCTTTGTTTATGACACATTCTGTAAAAAATAGCAACCCCTTAAGTAGACATCTGTTTGGAATTTTTGCAACATTTAATATTTCCCAGAATAGGGCCATAAATTGCCTTCTGCTAGCTTTAATGTGCTAGCCATTGGAGAGATCAGAAGTGGGGCTGGGAATGGGACCTACAAATCGGTGTGAGCGAGTATATTTCTCGAAGTATAAAATACAGAAGAGAGCTGAGAGATTTAGAAGTTTTCTGATGGGTCTGGCCCCCAGTGACTGAGCTGGGAACAGGACTTCAGTTACCTGTTGCAAAGAGAAGGAAATTACTAGCCAGGACAAATAAAACAGCAAATACAGGTAGAAGCCGTGGGAAGGAAAATAAGAGCAAGCTGCTGACTACAGAACGGTGTTATTGAGGGTTTGCAACCTGGGAGCTTACAGTTATGCATGCGTTTCCCTGAGATTGCCACAGTGGGGGGTGCTGCAAAGCCTAAGCAGGCTGGAAGCCAAACCTGACAAGGAGAGGTTGGAAACAGCTGTGTTCCTCTGGGATTTGATTAGCCCAGAATAGGTGGACTGAATCAGGGGACCAGGCCCTCCAGGAGCTGAACTGCTGAAAGCCTGGCAGGGAAACCTGAGGCGGAATAGCGGTAGCGTCACATCACATGGCAGCGTACCACAGATCTGCATCCCGCTACCCTGAACTACTTTTTATCCCTTGGAGAAAGGACTCATTAGCCCTTTTAATTATTTCCCTAACCGCTAGAACTCCAGATGCCATTGTGTTATGTAAAATGACAAGTGTTATTTTTAACTCGTAAAGCATGTGAACTTCAAGCTCTTTCCAGCGATACAAACACAGCTCCGTTTCGACGCATGACTCATCTCCACATGCAGGAAAAGCTCCGCGTTTCGCATCCCTGTCGCTGCGCTCTGCGCACCAGCGATGAGCGACAGTTGCTGCGGGAATCATTGCTTTTAATATCCTGACCACGCGGACGAAAGCGCGAAGAGATGCCGACTGCTTATTTGGCGAAGGGGTCGCTTTTCCCAAACAGTCGGTGCCTGGAGGAGCCTCGTCTGCCCGGTGTCGGAGTCTCGGCGCTTTGCTCCGTACCAACGGCCTGTTGAAAAGAGGGTGAAGAGAAAACGGGTCGGTCCTTTGGCCTTCGGGGAAAGGGGGGGATCGGGGAAGGGGGGGAT